GGACCAAGACAAGGGTGCCAAGGAGCTGGGGCTCTAGCCCAGATCCCGATGCTCGTGCCTAGTTCCTCGACTGTCCACCCACAAGTCATTAACACTCGATTACTATAGATATATTTAGGAAAATATGATTTTCCTTTTCAAATAACGAAAGATAATTTTCAGCTTATTTTCAAATTTCAATTAAATATTAAAAAATATTGTCATTTTTCGGGACCATTAAATTTTCCTCGATGGAGTTATGATTATTAGACGCCTTTTGATAGTTTCCCTTCCAAGACTTCTTTGATGAGACACCTCAATCTTATCCGATTTTCTGAGTTTTTTTTTAGGGTGCAACGTGCTTCGGAAACAATGGGATTTACTGGGCAAGATCAGTTCAACTTTATGGGCAAAGAAGATGAGAGGGACCAGGGAACCAAAGAGGAGGCGGTGGGGCCCGCACGACCCAACAAGCTCGGCCAGAGCTCCTCCACCGGAGAGTCAGGGTACAACGACGACGGGAACAACAAGCAGATGCTGCCGGCGAGCGTGATGACCCCCGCCTTATCTTGATCATGGTGTGGAGGAAGCTGATCAGGAATCCCAACACCTACTCGAGCCTCATCAACCTCACATGGTACTCGATTGCCTTCCGGTTAGTACATACCGAATTATCCAAAGACTACTCCTGGATTATGTTTTCGCGACGGTTTTCTTGTCCTCCCATGATGGTTAAAATTGCTAATTCATCACACTAATCTGCACTAAATCACAAGACGTACATAGAAAATCCATAATACACATTAGCATAGTTATCATATGGAAGTACTCTGGGCTATCTTTTAGCATATCGGTGCTGTAGACGGACACTCTTGTACGATTGAAGAGAGATTGGACTTTCGAGTCAATCTCCACACCGTCCGCTGCTGGGCTGGGAATGGCCATGTGCAGCTAGGTGAGTCTTTTTTTCATTTATCTTCTTCTCTCTTAGATATCTCCATCAACATTCTTTGTTTGGTGCATATTCTCGGGCATATTCTCGGCCATATTGATACATAACTTCAGCAAATTGAATGCTGTCTTGGCCGATCCGCAACCAGTTCATTCACTGAACCAAACTCGTCTCCATTTGATTAGCCACGACAGAGAGAATAGTTCACGATCGAGAGAAACAATGATTGTTCCTCCTCTACAGTGTCGGCCCATGTCTAGGTTGTGGGAAAGCATGTGTGTGGGACATTGACCTTTAATGATACGCACTCTCTCTTCTTCCTCATCTTCTTCTATGTTCAATTTTGGAAACATAAAGTGGGAGTAGTCCCGCAAGCTGCGGCTCGCAGTTCAGAGCCATATATTCTGCCACCGCCACCCAAACCAAACCTGACCCCGGGGACCCATGAGCGGGCCCAACCGGACATGTGGTTCCGACCCCCCTTGTCAATCTATCGAGGAATTCGAAAGATAGGGTTCTATTTCCGAGAAAATATTTGAAACAGAAATCCGTTTGATAACCTACTTTCATTTTTTTTTATTTTATGGTTCGCGTATTGTAATTTTCGTAATCCAAAATGCCCGAAAATTGAATTTCGACACGCAAGTTGGGATTTTATTTTATTTCGTAATAGATCTTGAAATAAAAAAGGCAAGGTCCCCGACCTTCTTCGAATTCTAAACCACATAAAAAGGCCTTTTCCACGTTATTTGCTTTTTTTTTTACACCACAAGATATCGAAATTTCAGATCAATTATTCTTTATAAATGTGAACAATTCCTTTCCCATGCATTCAGTAAGGCATATCGCTCGCAGAGCGACCGAGGCGGCCTTCAAAGTTACTTTTAATCTAAATGAATGACGTTATGATTTGAATAGTTCAAGTTCCCTCACTCTGTGTGAAACTTATGCATAATGAAGGAGCAATGATCCGCAATCGATGCATAAGCAATTAGCCCTTTTTTCCAAGATGATAGACAGGTAATACTGTCCAGCTTGCTCGAAAGATCATTGCAATTAGATTCTCCGTACGTTTTCTTTATGCATACTATATAGAAATTTGCATGTATAGGGCATCTAATGTTGCAACTGATCGGAACAAAAAAGGGGAATTGTCCGATCAATCATAAACCTATTGTACGAATGCCAATTCAGTTTTAAACTTTTCAATTTTGTCAATTAAATTATAAATCTTTGCACGTAATTCCAATGTAATCCTTCAGGCCAAATTTTCGCATAAAATTACTGACATAACGGTGTATCAAGTAGGATGGCCGACGATGACCGGACCGCCTATGTCAACGATTTCCAAAGAGAATTGACAAAAAGGATTATCTTAGAATTTCCCATAAAGGTATAGGACTAAATTGATAAAATCGAAAAGGTTTAAGATTGAATTGGCATCCGTATAATAGATTCATGACCGATTCAGTAATTCTCTCGAGGAAAAAGAGAGGCCTCGACATGATTCGACCTAGATTGCTATCTAACCACTCTGAAGTCGACACGTGATGACGAGGACCGGCTCTTTTGGTGGGTATCGTGAAGGGTTCATCAACGAAAAACAACGCAGCGGAATATAGAACCCTAGACAGGATTCATGTGTATATTGAAATCGAAAAGGAATTTCGATACGTACCTTTTGCAGATCGAAGATAAATCAGCAACTGATTGTGTCTGGATGAACGCCCCAAGTGTTGCGCCTCTACCGGTATCCACACACACGAACGGAATTCTCCAACGATCCACGTGCTAGCGAAAGATCTTGAAGTTCCTTTTTCTTGAACGCCTTTTGATTTTCGATACTCTATCGAAAAACCCTAGACAGAGAACGATTCTCTATCTATTTATACAGCCTCATTATCTAGCGGAATTAAAAGAAGTGGGCCGGGCTATTTGGGCTCGCCAAACCGTCCACCTTCAATCGTACGTTTAATCGTTATCTCATAACGCGCATGACCGCATAGATAATTTAAATAGGAGAATAAATTAAAATCTACTTCTTAAATAGTTCAAGGCGCATAGACAATATTAAGTCCGTTCGCTATTGTGTGCGACCCTGTAGGTTCACTAAACATTAGCAATGTGCCCAAAACTCTTTTGGCCCACAAGTCATAAGCGGTCTCTAGCAAGACATTATGACTACCTAAGTATAGTGAAGATCGGTTTTCCGACACAACCTAATCCACAACTAATATTAGAGTATCAACCTTGATTGATTCTTAGGGCAGACCACTAACATATCGATCAAGTGGAGCGAATAACAGAGAGACTATCTTTGATTAGTGATAACATAAGCGGGTCAAAATAGATGTGAAGGTTGTACAAATCTTGCAAAACTTGACCGTGTCGTGTAGGGGTGAGCAACAACGACTCGCTTCCTCCATTGACGCACTTGCTAGAAACCAAATTGGGATTTCCTTGTCATGCATCCTCGCAAGCGATCTCCAAAGTCAAAGGTGTCGGTCCCTCGCGTTTGAACGACCTGGCAAGATTCCTCCCAATTTGACTGTCCAAAAAATTCTTATCCAATTACCTTTTCGTCGCGCAACATCGATAAGTCGGGAAATTTTCAAATTTCAGGTTGACACGCTTTCGCTTTGACAAAAGCATCGTCGGGTCCATGATCACACGTCCCTCGGTTATGGACTCACGTGAGTGATCGAAACCAAAAGTCGCGTGTGCATGGTAATCTATTCGATCAATCGAGTCCCTTCGTTTCTTTCCTTATTATTAGCACAAATGGATGGACCCGGTTTTTTGTTTTTTGACGTGACCTTTCTTTTGACTCTTCTATTTAACTTTCTTGACCCAGACTCTAGAGAAAATATTAGGTAGGACTCGTATTCCACCGTGGCAAAAAACGAGTATCCCAGCGTGCGACACGTGTCGCACGGGCCCCACCCGGTCAGACCTCCAATATTTTGAAAATATAGCGCCTCTCTCCTCTCATCTCTCAGACTCGCGCGCCCCAACCCCTCTCTCTCCTCCCGGCTCAGAACTTGGCGCTCCCTCCGATTCTTCCGACGCCGGCGCCTCCGCCTCCGCCGACGACGCCGACGCCGATGCCAACGCCGATGCCGACGCTCCTCTACGCGCTCGCGCTCCCAACTTCTCTCTTCTCCCAGACGTGCCGCCTCCGACGCCTACGCCTTTGCACTCTGAGAACTCGCGCTCCCTCCTCAAATTATGATTTGAGATCCTCAAATTATTAGGTTGATCGAATAAAACTATGATTTGAGCATCAAGAAAAATGATGTGTCGTGTCGCCGATCCACAGTATAAAATGGGATGATGGTTACTGTCTCTCTTAATGTGGCTTCATTCTCTAGCATCGGGCCTCCATTTTGTACTTTACTTGGTGCCGGCCATGGTGGCGCCGCCGTACGCGGCGGTGACCCTGACCTACGACTCTGTGCAGTGGTCGAGGATCTTCTCCTCAGACCAATGTTGCGGCATTGACTGCCGCGTTGCCACCTTTGCCGTCCCGCTCCTCTCCTTCCACTTCATCTCCACCAACAACTCGTTTGCCATGAACCTCTCCGCTTCACCGCTTCGTCGTGCTGCAGTGCGTCGTTACAGGGTGCAAAGATCCTCATCATCCTGGAGCAGTTCCCCGAGACTGCAGCGTCCATAGTGTCGTTCAATGTCGAGCCGGACGTCTATCTCGCTCGACAGTCGGGACCTCCTCGAGGCCCATACCGGAGGTTGACAATGGCAGGAAGCTACACGTCACCGTGAGGAAGCCGAACGCGTCGAGGCAGTCCTTCAGCCTAGGGCCTGGCAGTGGCTTGTTCTTAGGGATGATGCCAAGGCCTTCGAACCTCACCGGAGTGGAGATCTACAGCCTGAGCTCACAACATGAATTGACTCCGAGGGGGGTCCAACTTTGGACCCTCTGATGTGCACTTGGTCCGGTCCTTTCGTGGCTCGACCCTCCACATATTCATGAGGAGCTCCGGCGCTTCACCAGCAACAGAAGTGGGTGGGCGTGGCGTGTTTAGCGGTAGGGGTTTTGGGGCTCCGGATCATCATTTCGGACCGTTCGATCAATGCGTCTAGGAGATCCGGATGATAGATGCCAACAATTACTAGCCTAATGGCGAAACCAAAAGTATATATATATTCTAGTCTAACGACTCAACCCTTTTCCACCATCAAATTAATCCAGAGTTAATTCCATTTGTTTTGTGGAAAATATTTTTCTCATTTTTTGACATTTAAATTGCCTAGAAAAATAACCATTGGAGTTTGCTCCAGTAGCCACCCTTCGTACTTGGGAAGGGAGAGGTGAGGAGTTCGATTCCCTACCTTTTTAGGGGGATTAGGAGTTGGGACGTTTAGTTTTAAATGTAGGTTTCGACTCCCACGCTCTGCAAAGAGGCAGGACAAAATTCTGAGAGTGAGTTGAGAGTTAGAATAGGACAGACAAAAAAAAAATTACCTAGAAAAAGTGTCAATGGAAATCTCATGCCTTTTTAAAAAATTGGAAATAAGATGTCAGCATTTGGCCTAGAAACTACGTGCTTGTGCATAGGAACCCCAACGATCGTTCCTAGGCCTTTGGCAGTGGACACGGGTCTAGAGGCTGGGGCCGGGGTCGGGTCTACCGAGGTCCATTGAGGGCAAGCCCACGTCCATCGAGGCCAAGCCCGAGTCATCGAGGCCAAGCTCGAGACCCTAGTGCCGTCCCCTAGGTCCTCAGTGCTCGGCCTCAGGTTTATCATGGCCGGGCCAGGGTCCCTGGCCCCCGTGCCTAGGTCCTCGACGCTCAGGCCCGAGTCCATCCATGTTGGGCCCGAAACCCTGGTGCTTATACCCGGGTCTCTAATGCTCGTGCCCGAATCCATCAGGGGCGAGTCGAGGACCTTGGCGACTAGGCCCAAGCACGGGCACTGGGGTCTTCAAGCCCGGCCTCTGTGGACTCGGGCGCTAGGTTCTAAGGCTCAACCTCGATCTACCTAGGTGCCGAGATCTTGGGGATCCATAGGCCGGGCTCAAGGACCCCAGTGCCAATGCTCGGTCCTGGATCCAATTACGAGCACCAAGGCATCGGGCACGGGCACCTACACCTCGAGTCTAACCTCTATGGACTAGGGCCGAGGTGCCTAGGAGCCGATCACGAGCACTGAGTTTTTTGGCCTAGCTTCCGTGGACTTGTGATTGGTGCTTGTGCCCAGGAGCCGGGGCCTCTAGCGTGGTTCCCCAACTATCCACGCACAAGTCATTAGCACTCGATTGCTATATGTCTATTTAGAAAAAAATATGATTTTCCTTTTACCAACGATAATTTCCAATTCATTTTTAAATTTCAATTAAATATTAAATAATATTGTCATTTTCCAGTACCTTTAAATTTTCCGCAATGGAGTTATTGTCATTAGATAATTATTAGACGTCTTTTCATAGTTTCCCTTCCAAGACTTCTTTGATGAGACACCTCAATCTTATCCGATTTTCTGAGCTTTGTTTTTTGGGTGCAAGGTGGTCCGGAAACAGTGGGATTTACGGGGCAAAATCAGTTCAACTTTGTGGGCAAAGAAGATGAGAGGGACCAGGGAATCAAAGAGGAGGCGGTGGGGCCCGCACGGCCCAACAAAGCTCGGCCCGAGCTCCACCACCGGAGAGTCGGGGTACAGCGACGCCGGGAAACAACCAGCAGATGCCGTCGATGAGCGTGATGACCACTGCCTGATCTTGATCATGGTGTGGAGGAAGCTGATTAGGAACCCCAACACCTACTCAAGCCTCGTCGGCCTCGCATGGTCCTTGATTGCCTTCCGGTTAGTACATACCGAATTATCCAATGTCTACTCCTGGATTATATTTTCGCGATGATTTTCTTGTCGTCCCAGGATGATTAAAATCGCCAATTCATCACACTAATCGGTAATAAATCACTAGACCTACATAGAAAATTCATAATACACATTAACATAGTCATCGTATGGAAGTACTATGATTTATCTTTTAGCACGTCGGTGCTGTAGACGGATACTGTTGTATGATTGAAGAGAGATGGGACTTTCGAGTCAATCTCCACACTGTCCGATGCTGGGCTGGGAATGGCCATGTGCAGCTTAGGTGAGTCTTTCTTTCATTTATCTTCTTCTCTCTTAGATATCTCCATCAACATTCTTTGTTTGGTACTTTTTTCCTGGGCATATTCTCGGCCATATTGATACATAACTTCAGCAAATTGAATGATGTCTTGGCCGTTCCGCAACCAGATCATTCACTGAACCAAACTCGTCTCCATTTGATTAGCCACGACAGAGAGAATAGTTCACGATCGAGAGAAACAATGATTGTTCCTCCTCTACTGTCTTGGCCCATGTTTAGGTTGTGTGAAAGCATGTGTGTGGGACATTGACCTTTAATGAATCGCACTCTCTTCTTCCACTTCTTTTCTCTCTCTCTCTCCATTTTTTGGAACATTAAGTGGGAGTAGTTCTGCAAACAGCAGCTCACAGTGCACAGCCATATATTCTGTGGCCACCACCCAAACCAAACCAAACCAAACCAAACCAAACCCTACCCCGGAGACCCATGAGCCGGCCCGACCGGAGTGTGTTTCTGACCCCCCTCATCGATCTATCGAGGAATTCAAAGAACAGGGTTTTGCGCATCTAGAAGCGCGAGATCTCGCACTCAATTCCCGTTCAACGCACCGTCATGAGATCAATTCACGCGAAAATGATTTCTCACGATCGTCAAATGATAACAGGCGGCACTTCCACAAGGAATAGTTGTCCCATTCGTGTTCGCGAAGGAGTACAATGTTCATCCAACCATTCTCAGCACCGCGTAACAGTCCTAAAACCATTGAACTTTTCAAAGACATTGAACGCATCAAATATTCTTTCTTTTCCATTGCGGCCGAGCACCTGATGTTCTTTTCAAATCATGCAAAAACTTTTTTTCGCGGGATCATATACGGGATGCTGATAGACCTGCCAATCGCGCTTGTCTATTACATTCTTCTCGAATTACAAAGCATCCTCCTAGATTATTCCCTGCCGACAAAGTCGCAAAAGGAGTCAATCGAAGCATATTTCACGATCTCATGGTCGACAAATGGGTCGATTCGGGAAGCACTTGCGAGGATTTTCATGGGAAAACAATTGAGCGACAAAGAGAAGTTTTGTTCCTCAATAATCCGAAGTGTTTAGAGCTATAGAGATTGCAATCCAAACCTTAATCCCTGTAGAATAGGATCATTGTCTCCATTAAAGAAAAAACAGAGACCTAGCTATAGGTTAGACTTTGTTTAATGGAGACATTAGGGAGTGGAAGGAGGTTCTAGATGCGATATGCTTTCTTTATGTTATTCCGATTCCTAAAGTTTCCTCCATTGAATAAACGAAGAAGATGAACGAGGAATTTGGCTCGCTCCTCTCTCTTTGGTTTGTCTTCTTTATTGCCCCATCGATGCATTTGATTGGATTGTCGCAGTTATCGACGGTGATCGGTCTTTCTGATTTGTGGTTCTGTGTACGTCGCTCGCTATTTAAGACACCTCAGGACCTGTTTTGGGTTTTTAGCATTATGAAGATGCTTCTTCATGGATTTGATAAATGTCCTTTCTTTCAATTTTGCCCTCATCAAGCTATATAAATCTCAAATTTTACCGACAGACAAGGGCATTGACGCAAGTGCTCAAGTAAAGCTCAGATCTGATCGGCGCCTGTCGCCTAGGGTCTCAGACCTCGGCATCGCCTTGCCCCACCTTTTGTTGTCTCGCCACTCCTCGGATCTGCAAGATCGCCTCTGGCCGACGCCGCCCGTCGAATCCTGCCGTGCTTGCCCTCCCGGCCCCTTCTCCCTCTTTCTCAGTTTTACCTTATTTTAAAAGTTGCTTTTACGAGAACGTACCGAAACGCATCCCGGTGGGGGCTCGGGATATCTGTCCTGGCAGAAATTATTTGACAAAGACTTGGGGGAAGTTTTGGAAAGGCTTTCATGAGAAGCTTAATGATAGGGAAGTATGATGAAAAGCTTTTACAAAGGCTCCAGGAGTCAAAAGAAAGGAAAGGGGAAGCGTGCTTTTCTTCTGCTTTTTCCGCTTTTGATTCGGCCGGCTAGCCTACCCCACCGCCTCTTTCGAAAAGGTGGTGTTTGAGGGCGGTGAATTTCGCGCAAGATAGACTTGCTTCGTGCTGAAAAAACAGGACCTATTTTTTGTTTTATATATATGCTCTCTTCAAAGGAAAAGTGGGGGAAGACAATTTTCGAGATAAAAATTTGTGTATTGTGATAATATAAATATATACTAGGTTTCAGTTAATCCAATTATTATGGCATATCTTAATTTATTTTTCGGTAAATTTTCTGGTGACATTCTTATTCTTTCCTTTCCATTCTTCTGAAAAGAGATTAATCTTACAAAGCTCGTGATTTTGGGATATGTCTGGAATTACTTTTTTCCCATTTAATTTTCCGTTTATAAAAGATTTATGTTCGCTTATTGTAATTTTCGTTATCCAAAAGGCCCGAGATTTGAATTTCAACACGTAAATGGGGATTTCGTTTTTTTTCGTAATTTTTTGGAATGTTTGAATGAAAATTTAAATTATGGCCATAAAGCAAAAGAAGCACTCTTCACATCAAAAATCGAAGAACCGACATTCCCTCATGCCGGATCTTGAAATAAAAGGCAAGGTCCCCAACCTTCTTCGAATCCCAAACCACGCAAAAAGGCCTTTTTTATGTTTTTTTTTTTTTTACATCACAGGATATCGAAATTTCAGTTCGATCAGTCTTTATAAATGTACACAGTTCCTTCCCATGCATTTAACATGGCATATCACTCGCAAACCTAAAATGTTTGAATATAAACTGTAGTTCGATAGTAAAAATACTTTTCATTAATTAATTATCATATTTTAGGAAAATGCATGCAATTAGGGAATCGAATGCCATGTTCTCCTCACGTTCTCTCCACTGCCGTGACTGATTGGGAGCAAAAGAGAGCTCCCCCCACACGATTCGACCGAGATGGCCATTTGACCACTCCGGAATCGACACGTGGCGAGAGGGGACGACCGACCTTTTTGGGCGGTGTCGATCAAGTGGTGGAGGAGGAGGAGGAGGAGAGAACTGTTTTCTTGATTAGCAACAACGTAAGCGGGGTCAATCAAACCATACCCCCGGTTGGTCAAAGATGTCAAGGTCGTGACGAAACAACCGTAAAATTTGACTGTACTGTGTCGTCGTCGTGCAGGAGCGAGCGACAGCGACTCCATCTTCCTCCTTTGACGCACAAGCTAGAAGCCAAACTGGGGGTCTCCCGATTTGACCCGGAATCTATCTGACCCATCTACTTCGGAAGCATGGAAAATTTCACGTCGTTTTGTGTCCATCTAGCAATCACGCATGAAGGGGGGGTGCGAAAAATTCTTATCCGACTATCGTTTCGTCGCGTGACATCGACGGGTCGGGAAATTTTCGAATTTCGGATGTTCGGGCGGGCACGCTTTCGCTTCGACAAGGGCGTTCGATGGGTCCGTGATCGATTGTCCCTTGGTTATGGACTCATGTGATGTGGGGATTTTTCTCTCTCTTTTTCCATCTGGTCAAAAACAGTGATCGGAACCAAACGTTGCATGTGCATGGGGGTTGGGACCTTGACGAAAACTGAGGATGCGTGTGTTTTCTTTTCAGGACTTTCTCCTATTTGATCGATTCCTTTAGGCTTTTTCCTCTTTTGAAGTACAAGCGGATAAAAAAAAAAAAGTACAAGCGGATGGAGACCCCGGCTTTTTTTTGACATTAAGTTTTCTTCTCGGCTCTTCTATCTTGCTTTCTTGCCCCCTCGAACCCGGAGGTCGGCCCACGGTCGGCTAACGTCTTGTCGTCTCTCGGGAATTGTTCCCGGGTCGTGCTCACGAAGAGTGGTCCGGCACCAACACGCCACGCACCCTTTTTTTTCTACTCGAAATGCCTTCCTACCTTAATATAGTCGGTTTTGTAATTCGATGACTTCTCTGTCGCGCAATTTGTCCATGAACAGATCTCAGAGTTATGTTCGTACCAAATTTGTCCATGACTTCTCTGTCAATAGGGGCAGCATTAGTACCCCTTGCAACATGATTGGACCTTCTGCACTAGAACTAGAAGCATATATATTTAAGAGTCCTGCATGATTCAGATGGGAGAATAAACTGATGCATCTCCCATCAATGCCACAGAGAGATGTACGGTGAACCACCGGCAAAAGCCGAGAGAAGCATGGACCAGCAGCGTCGAGGGACCATGGAGTCGCGGCGTGAGTTTCTTTACCCTGAAAGAAATTGCGAAAGAGATATGGACACCGGCAAAAAGGCGAAGGAATAGTTCGCTCTTTGCTCGGCACGTGACTGCGCGGATAATGACACGGGCTTTATTTTCATCCAACCCCGACAGTTGATGGCCACGATTGGTGGGTGACAAGTTACGGACATCGCCGATGTGCTCGGTTGGAGCTGAACTCCGGGCCATATGTTTCACGGGCTAAAGCTCAGCTGGACCTCAAGTTGGGTTGGGCTGGGCTGAAAATGCTCACCAAAGCTGACGGGCCTGAGAAGACTGGAGTGGATCGGGCCGAGCCCATGTTCAATGGACTCTGCTCGGTCCAACCCTTTGCTAGATCCAGATAAAAGATGGATTTATGAAAATGAAGATGGGTGTACCCAAATCCGCCCATTGATCAGGTCTAATCATCATCGGAGCTAAAAAGCGTACCCCGTGATCTTTAACAATACTTAGATTACTTCGAGAGAGAGAGAGAGAGAGAGAGAGAGAGGGGTTGAGTACTAATCGACATTCAAGACCCCACACATATAAGATCGACTTATCGACTGAGAAATCGACAAGGGTAAGTAAATTAGGCACCTGATCCATTCAAAATATCTTCTGCTCTTTAGTAGTCGACCCTATTAGTGAGGTAATTCATGGCCCGATGTTAATCAATCCAGGATAGGTTTCGTCCCCGTAAGGAAATCGTTGCGATCTGTGTCTTCTCCTAAAAAAGAAAGAAAAACAGAAGGACGTCCCCCCCTTTTGGAAGATCTACCGTCAACATAAATAGAAGCTATCCTCTTCCTCCGTTCCTCCATCTTTAGGCTAAAGAAAGGCCCTCAAAATAGTCAATATCCACACCGCCGTTGCTTTGACCTCCATTTATACACTCTCAGGTAGAATACAAGGCCCCGTTCAAACTCCTCCACAATCATTCTCTCCTCTCTCGTTCCTTATTTTCCCCCCGAGAATCGACTGTCAAGAACATCCGATCCGCACATAACATCCACGAGACGATGCCGAAAGCTTCGGTCACGGAGATTGGCGAATCGAGCGGTGTCTCGCCGGACGCTCACTTGAGCATGGACTGCTGTTCCTCCCCCGAGGTCGTCTCCCTCGCCCAGAAGGTAAAAAACACGCACGCTTTCTTTCCTGCACGCTCTTCTTCTTTTCTGCTCGCTTCTCATCTTCCTCCTTCTGCAGGTGATTGCCGAGGTGGTCGGGACGTACTTCGTGATGTTTGCAGGGTGCGGGTCGGTGGTGGTGAACAAGATATACGGGTCGGTCTCGTTTCCCGGGATCTGCGTGGTCTGGGGGTTGATCGTGATGGTCATGATCTATTCGGTGGGTCATATCTCGGGTGCCCATTTCAACCCTGCGGTCACCGTCACTTTTGCCTTCTTCAGACATTTCCCTTACAAGCAGGCGAGTTCTTGACATCTTTCTCTTGCAGATTCTTGCCATCTTTTTCCATCCCTGGTATGCATACTAAAAGGAGAACCATTCGACCAGCTCGGACTAGGCCGGCCTTTCGAGCCAAGCCTAACGTGTTCACGTCGACCTAGGGACGGGTTTAGATGGGGAGCAACCGAACCGAGCCCGGTTTTGTAACTAGAAGCTCTTCACCATGCCCCGTCCATATCTATCTTTGAACCCGTCTGGCATCGGCTAGGCTTTCGGGTTCGAGATCAAGTCTAACGCAGATATGCAATGTGAACAATGTGATTGATCAAGCAAAGTTGATAGTCATGTTGCACAGTCATGCGGTCTTTGCTTATTATAAATAGTTTCAAGGTTGGTAGTAAAGTTTGAGCTCCTCGCAGGTTCCTTTGTACATTGCGGCACAACTGCTGGGATCGATTCTTGCGAGCGGCACGCTTTACCTACTCTTTGATGTGGACACCCAATCATTCTTCGGGACCGTGCCGACGGGTTCCCATGTCCGGTCCCTGGTGATCGAGATCATCATATCCTTCCTGTTGATGTTCGTCGTATCCGGAGTCGCGACGGATAATAGATCGGTGAGTGATTTCGATCGAGAGAATTATTTTCTTTCTCTCTGCACAAAAGAGATGGAACAACGGGAAAGCTTTGGAAACGAAAGGGAAAAACATTCGGATTCGCTTAAATGCTTAAGTGGCCGGATCAACACGGATGCTAAGCTTGTGTTCAATCGTATCCTGTGCAGACCGGCGAACTGGCGGGAATCGCGATCGGGATGACGATCATGCTTAACGTGTTCGTCGCCGGGCCGGTTTCCGGGGCATCCATGAACCCGGCGAGGAGCATCGGGCCGGCCATCACGATGCACGTCTACAAGGGGCTCTGGGTGTACGTGGTCGGGCCGTTCGCCGGCACCATCTTGGGTGGCTTCGCGTATAATCTGATCAGGTCAACCGATAAGTCCCTCGGGGAGTTGACCAAGAGCGGGTCTTTTCTGAAGAGCAAGTCAGAAGTGTAAATATTTTGGAAATAGGATCCATTGCCGAAGGCTCGTCTTTATGCTGCATATATATAGAACAGAATGAAAATATAGAGTACCTTTGTTTTGGGGGGGGTTGAATTTTCTTGGATTTTTTTTTTTGTGGCGGAGAGAATTGATGCCCCAGCAACTTATCTTGTCGGTATGTTACGTTTAGGGCGTGTTTATTTGAGTGAAAAAAAATAAAATCCCGCGCATTGACTTTTCGGACTTTCGCGTGTTTAATTCGCTGAAAATGATTAGTCGGTGGAAAATCACTAACGGTCGAGGAAAACATGCATGCTTAAAATAGGGAAAATGAATTCTCGACTTGAAAAAACAGGGGGAAACATTTCCGTGGAAAAGCATTTTCCTCTGTCACGTAGTTTCCCTCCCCCCCGGAATAAAGGCACCCTCAATTTAATTGCGAAAACAGAGTTTATGTCCACCCCGTCGGGAAGCAAAACAGTTCTTGGCCGGGCTCGTTTGCATGCGGGCCGTGCCAAAACGGATCGATCCGGTCCGAATCGTCTCGAAATAGATCGGCCTAAAGACTTTCGATCCTAACAAACTATGTATCCAATTACAGGCTTTCGATGACTCGGGTCAGGACTCGATTGTACCGGCTCGACTCGACGCGAAAATGTCCGGGATTGATATCGCTGATTATTATTAATTCGACAGGATCGGACCCACACCAAAAAAAAAGGGATAAGTACACTAGAAGTCCTAAAACTTATCAAGAAAGTGCAATCGAGTCCTAAAACTTTCAAGAAAATGCGATAGAGTCCTAAAACTTGTCACGAAAGTGCAATCAAGTCCTAAAACTTTCAAAAAGTGCAAACAAGTCCTATAACTTGTCGCGAAAGTGCAAATAAGTCCTAAAACTTGTCAAATTGGTTCAATCAAGTCCTTCCATTAATTGTATTTTTTGAAAGTTTTAGGGCTCGATTGCACTTTTGTGATAAGTTTTAGGACTTATTTGGACTTTCGTGATAAGTTTTAGGACTCAATTGGACTTTTTTAACAAGTTTTAGAATTTAATTATATATTATGAAAGTTTTAAAACTCAATTATACTTTCGTGATAAGTTTTAGGACTTTGAATGTACTTATTAAAAAAAAAAAAAAAAGGAGCACGTTAGGAATCCACGTGATGGAGGGGGGAGCGGTGGGGGGATCGGTGATCAGACGACGACGATAAAGACAAAAGAGTGCGCACATGACTCTCTCTCTCTCTCTCTCTCTCACGAGCGCTCCATCCATTAGATTCAGATTTAGATTTAACCCGGGATGGATTCCCCCCCCCCCCCCCAAAAAAAATAAAAGAAAAGAAAAGCTCCGACGGTGCACTGAATCAAAGCAACAACAGTCCCATAATAGCAACTGACCTCTCCTCTTCCTCGTCTTCCTTCTTCTTCTCCTTCTTCTTCTTCGTCTTCGTCTCTGCAACTCTCGCTTCGTTCGCGTCTTCCTTCCGGACGAAGGCGGCTTCTTCGGGGGAGGGGACGGGCGCGGCTTCGGGGCCAAAGTCCTTCCCCGCCGGTTTGCTTCGGGCGCAATCCTGCCGCTCCCCTCGAATGCGTGTGATCGGCAGGTATCATTCGTTTCTTCCGCTGGACTTCGCTTCCGCCGCACACCTCCTCCTCCTCCTCCTCCTCCAGCAGCTCCTGCTTCTACATAATGCTTTCTCTCTTTTCGTTGTTAAGGGGGAGTGACGCGGGCGGAGATGCTGATCGGATCGCGATGCTCGTTCGCGCAGGCTGAGGAGTAGTAGTAGTTCCCGGGGGCGCTCTCTGCTCTGGTTGGTTTTGGCCGGGGGGATTCCCCATGGCTGGAGAAGTCGGAGAGACGTTCGGCGTTGGTTTTCAGGTCAGCATTGCGACTCTCTCTCTCTCTCTCTGTGGGAATTCTGAGGATCCGACGCCGGATTTGACGCCGTGTGACCTGATCTAGATATTAACAGTTTCCGCTTACTCGCGCGTAGTCTAGTCATTCGTACTCTGCTCCGTGTGTGTGTGTGTGTGTGTGTGGGATGCGAGGGGTGAGATTTCGGCGGTGAGGATCCGATAAGAGGAAGGTGCTGCAGTTGTTATCGCAAGTCCGCTGTGATTACTAGATGATATTGTTCGAGCATCCATTCTTATTCGATTAGGATCGCGGGATCAGAGCATTGTATAGATCCATAGTTGCCCAGTTAGTTTGTGCTATCTACTACCCGAATAACCGGATTCAGAAACTGAGTAAAAGTGCGATTTCGCGAGGTTAGAGCAATGTGAATGAATTAATAGCTCGGAATTCTTCTATGGTCTATTCCACCCTTGACGTGAAAAGGGTCACTGGCTTTGGGATTTTGCCCGTAGCATCTCCCTGAAATTGTTGGCAATTTCGTTCTCAAATCTGGAAGCGAGTATGAACAGAGAGCTATCTCCTTAAGAATTCGAGTCTTAATGATCTCCAATAAATTTTCCGGAAGATTGTCAACGCGGAAGGTTACCAGGAGGATCTCTGTTTTAAGATGATAGTATGTACTAGCTTTGACTTTTTATCCCATCCCTGCAGATAACTGGTCCTCTTTCTTTTTAACCTTTCTAATGTGCATTCATTCCTATGGGCAGGCTGATTCAATTCACTCTGGCTCCATTTCATTTGGGAGGTTTGAGAAAGAACCTTTAGCATGGGAGAGGAGGTCTTCTTTCTCGCACAACAGGTATCTTGAAGAGGTTGAGAAATTCTCCAGACCAGGTTCGGTGAACGAGAAGAAAGCTTTACTCGAAGCCCATTTCAAGAAGAAACCGCTTCTGCATCAGAGTTCATCCGAGTCGCAGACTGGAAGGGACCATCGGCGTGATGAATATGACACATCAGATAGTACGAGCAGGGAAGGATTCGAGCTTGCAATCGAGGATGATTATTTTGGTCGCTTTGACGAGAGTCCAGCAAGATCAGGGTGTAGTGGAGAGTACAAAGTAAGAGCTGGTGAAAGAGAAGATCCAGGTGTTTCGTCATTCCCATCCCGTGAAAAAGATGTAGTAGATGATCTTTCCATGGATTTTATTCCTATAGAGTATGATGCAGGGATGCCAATTTATTTAGAGGATGGGCATGATGACTTGCCAATAGGTTGCGCTGAGACACAGATAGGTGCAAAACTGAGTTCTGACTATGATGAGAGAGAAGCAGAAAATTGTTCTGAGGCCATCTACTCATATATAAAGTGCGAGACTAATCAAATGGTTGAAAAGAATTGTTCGGAAACATCTCATCTTTCTCCAAAGGTATGGGATGCTTTCATGTAATTGGCTTCTTGCGTCACGCGTAATGCATTTTAACGTGTTAAAATAACCAAGCTAAGTACTGGTTCCCTTTCGTGTTGCTGATTTGTCGTTATATCCTCATTTCAGTTGGCATCAGCATCAGAAACTAAGCTCACCGAGGCCACAGCTAAGTCTCAGTTCTCAGTGGCTGATGACAAGAGAAACATTTCTGCTGAATCATCCAAAGATTTGAACAAAACTTTGGGTGGAAGGATAAGAGGATCTCCATCGAGAACAAATAGACAGAAAGATTCTACCTTGTCTGCAGTCCAAGCTTCCCGTTTAGTACATAAATCTTCGAACTCAGAGGTAACGGTTGGTTTATGATGGCTGACAATGCCAAACTTGATGCATTGAATTGAGAAGTATGACTTGCATGATTACATCAACAATCATGTCAAAGTCCAATGCTTTGACTTTCTTCTTTGCTGAATATGTTCTTCTAATTGTTGATGCATGCTCAATTATGCTCAGCAAAGGGAAAAGCTGGTGATGAAACCAATGCGTGAAGACAATAGGTACTTCTTGCCTCTTTTACATGAAACGTGATATATTATTTCCATTCTATAGAGGCCTCATACTGTCATTTCTAACAGCAAAAGAGGAGGAAAAAAGATTTCTGAACCTCAATCCATGTCAATGATGAAGCTTGAATCGAGCGCAGATTCTACTAGAAGCAGGTCTGAAAAGAAAATTCGGAATTCCTCGAGGAGATCAGTCTTCGAATCTTCTGACTTATTTCCTTGACCTGAAATACAGGCTAAAGCAGATCGCTCAGTCACAGAAGCCAGAAACAAAGTCCACCTCTAAAGGTTTTAATTTTCTGAGTGACCAGCGAGCAGAAAGGAGGAAAGAGGTAAGTGTTAGAAATGAGAATGGGGTACAATGGTAATATTCACGGTTGGTATATCTGCTTGATAATTTGGTTTTGCAATTTGCTTGATTTAGTTTTTTATGAGGCTGGACGAAAAGATGCATGCTAAGGACGCTGAGATACATGAGGTTCAAGCAAAAGCACAGGTATGCTGAATTATTATTATTTTTTTCGTTATGTAGGTATGCTGAATTGTCCAAAGAATAATAATAGGTACATCAAGGATGGTTTACAAGATTTTTATACAAAGTGATGTGGCAGACTCTTATTGGATGGTGGAATGGTCCACCTGTATTAATTTGGGAGACAAGTCTTATTCTAATATATATCATTTATCTTCATTGAGAATACTTCAGTCATGCAAGGCAAGGCGGATACCAAATGATTGATGTATTCAGAAGGGAAACAATCGTTGCACTTTTATTTCGTGAATCACCATTTCTTGTCCTGATAAGCAATTATTGTATCATTCTTTTCTATAAATGATGATTTAGTTGATTGAATAGTATATGATCTCTCTTTGCTCAAAGAGCCTGGAAACCACTTTGTATGTAATAAAAAAGGTAGCATGATTTATCGCACTTAGTTTTCCTTTGTTGTAGCTATAGACAATGTCATTCTTATTATTGCAGGAAGAGACACAAGCTGATATCAAGCTACTCCGGAAGAGCCTTAATTTCAAAGCAACGCCTATGCCTTCTTTCTATCGCGCAACTCTGCCATCTGGGTCAGATGGCAACAAGGTGCATTAACACAATAGCTTTTCCATGTTTTCCTCTTTTTATGATGGTCGATAAGAGTGAGTTCCACTTGGGGAAATAATTTAGTTATCGTGAAATTATTTTTTTAGTGAATTGGAGTGGCTTTCTATCTTCTGAAGCCTTTACCTGCACTAATCGTGGTACTCTGCAACCTGGACCAGGGAAAAGCTTTTCCATGTCTGCTTCTTCTTATGATGGTTCATAAAAGCCAGTTCCACTTAATGAAATTATTAATGCGTCTTCTTGTAATTCCTACTTCAAACTTGAAGCTGAGCAAACAGCCAAGACCAATTGTATTTAACATCTTAACATGAAGGTCATAGGAGAATTTGTGCTTCTATATCAGACAAGCCAGTTGATTATGAAGCATTTTATAACATAAGAATTTGAAGAACAAAGTATAAAGTCACATGTGCTCCTCTTCATGAATCTCGAAATTTCACCTTTTCCTCATTTTGAGTGAATTTCCTCTATACTTTTACTACACTTCTGTTGTGTTTTACTTAATAAACCAGCCATCCTAATTCAGGGCAGCTTTTCCATGTCTTAGGCTTCATCTACCAAAGTCAGGTCAAGCATTTCATCTATGAGATGTCCCAGTTCTCCAAAGCAAGATGCTTCAAGGTCCCGAATTCATTCCAAGGCTGGAAATTGCCAAGTTGTTGCTGCGAGTGTATCTCCAAACACAACCAATCCACCTGAAGCCTCGCTGGATCACAAATCAATCAGCAAGACCTGGGGCTTGAATGCGGTCTCTTCAATACCATCATCAAACAAAGCTGAATCTGCAGGAGATGTAACCGCAAATGAAACTTCAAGAAAGGGAAGAGAACATGACGACGGGAATACCAATAAGCAGAAATCAAAAGCATCGGCAACTGCGAAGACAGTGAAAGGCCTGAGAGTTGAGGGGAAGCAGAAAGCAGGAGTTAAAAGAGACAACCATCAAATGATGAGAAAGGATACTAAAAGTGTCGGCATGAGCAGGACGGGCCGTGTCGCTGTCAGTGTCACCTCCTGAGAGCACTTCCGTAAAATCTTCCCTAAATTCGTCATTGTATCATTACTACTCATCTGCCTCCACATCACTTGAATAGAAGATGGCTGAGGAAGTAGAGAAAAATAAGGTAAAGCCGGCTCCCGTAGATCTTACATGGCCAAAAAGGCAAGTCTGCTCATGTATCAGAGTACATTCATTCTCTATCAAGGCCGGAGAATGTCTTTTTATGCATGTTCATGTACCATAAATGCAACTGAAATGTGGCGAAATTCGTCTCTCCAACATAGATTATCGGATGGATACCTGTATATGGAAGGATAATCATAATTTCTCGTGAATAATCCGAGGGACATATCTTTATGCAGAGTCTTGTCTGTATAATGATCCTCTTGAGAAGTGAGAACAATGAATAATTTCATTCTGCTGTTGATGTTCAACATCTTGCTCGTCCACTAATTGCTGCTTTTCTTGCATGTCCCTTGAAAGTAATTCGCTCCTTGCATACGGAAAGGATGCACAACATGTCGATCGAGGATGAACCTCGTTAATTCGTTCTTGGTGTATTATGTTCGATCATCAACATAAGCTTTATTTGCTTAGCCAAAAAAACAAGCACGAAATTTGAAAAAGGTAAAAAAGGAAAACTCAGTTGCATTCCTTCCTCCAGACATCAAAATACACTATAAGCATCTGTTGTGCGTCTATCTAATTGTCTATTTGTCTAGCTAGACTCTTTAACATAAAATTATGAACCTGAAGTACTCTCCAACAGCTACATACCAAGCAAATGAAAACAGCTCTACGTTTTTTACATCATTTTCACCGCCTTACATTAGATAATGCCACAACACCAGTGACCCAAACTACCCACCACCCCAATAATCATGACCGTCGATCTCCAGAGACCCGCGGCCGACGACTCCTCCGTCTTCGTCCGGGGAGGCCTCTGGTAGTAGTAAGGGAAGTAGGGCAAGATTGGATCGGGTGGCGGAGAAGCGGCATAAAAACTGCCTCTCGGCGGAGGCGGGCTGTAAGAGAAGTACCCCACCGGCGGAGGATAGATAGCGCCGGGCTGTCCCGGGTACGATCCCGTTTGAGTCAGAGTGGTCATCGCTGCCGAGGGTGATGCCGGATTACCGGCGGATGCGGGCGGCGGATTCCTAGTGCACGATGGGTCCGGGCAAGACCCTTGAGAACTTGTGGTCTCAACGATGTTCAGGATCGCGAAAGCCAAGACCAGGGTCAAAAGAGCTTGTCCTAGTTTAGCATCGGCCATGTAAATATGCGATAGATGATTAAGAAAATCAGCTCAAGGAAGACGAAGAGGCCGGAAGAAGAGTGTACAAGATTACGCGACGGCGAGCGATAAAACAAAGATCTAACAAGGTGGTTTCGGACGTCTCTTTAAAGTTATGCCAATGTGTTGATCAACGAGCGTCCCCCTCAATCAGCGCAAAATAGGCACCGCATGCAGTGGGACGGTCGTGAATATCTGTGAAGTCACACGGCTATATAAACAACCGATACCTAACGTACGAGGCTGTACATACATAAGACATATGCAGCCTATGTGGGTCCATTCGATCTTTGAGTATAGCATTATTTATTATATATAATTGTCCTAAGATAAGATGTAGAAGTCAAGTAATGAATTTCTTTAACCAAGCTGTTACTTCGATCATTATCCTTGGCAAAAGCTTCCCCCACGTGGAGATTACTAATTAGCTTAACTAGGATTAGTTATCCTAATCCATTTTTCCTTGCTCTTCATACAATGACGTGGACATCAAGCGACCAAATAAGAGAGGAGATCTAGCTTATTAAGTTTTAAACCTTTTGATGATTTCTCAAAATAGTCATTATGTCATTTTTGACCGAAAATCATTGAGAGACATTGCATAGCTTATTACCAAATCAAATGGAGATCTAGCAAATCGATTTCTTTTGTACCCTTGTTGAAAGGCAGGACGACGTGGAGCTATAAGAGACGTTCCGTCGGACAAGTCGGATGCTGATGGGATCGATCTCCATAACATAAATGTCTTGATTATGTTTGCTTTCTGTTACATGCACGAAAGAGGATTTGATCAACTCGATCTTAAAGAGTTTGGGGGACTAAACCGGACGAAAGAAAATTCATGAACCAAATTGAACATCAAGGGAAAGTTTTGGGGAACCATCCATGCCAAATTTGGTCAGCAAAAGTTTCCGCAACCAGCCTTATAATGTGCGTGTTGGCAATTGGAATTTCTAAAGCCCAAATCTGACGAGGGCCAACAACCCGCCGCAGGTGAGGACTGGCGAGAGCGTCACGACCTTTGACGAGGGCCATCCTTGCTAGATTAGGTGAGGGCGACCCTCACTTGTGGTCGGTCGCTAGCCATAAGCCAAAGGGAAAGAAAAGGAAAAAGATGAATTATTTTTTTAAAAAATGCAAAAATTATTTATGTCAGCATCGACCATGCCACAGAGTTTGGCCGACGGCCAGCCCACGTCCACATCAACAATTTCCAACCAAAATTAGCCGGAAAGACTAAATTAACAAGTCGTCAAAAAGTTTAGGATTAAATTTGCATAATTGAAAGGTTTATGGCTAAATTGGCATAATTGAAAGATTCATGACTAAATTGGCACAATTAAAAAGTTTAAGACTGAATTGGCCGTCTACAATAAGTTTAGAACTTTTTTTGATAATTTCCCTATAATCTGCAGCTCTGCTTTTAACAAATAACATGACAATTAGTATATGTACTTGTAGGTCACATGCCACGTGATGTTGAAGGTGACCCGATGTTGCATTTTGCAATGAGTCGATGAAGTAGGACTCGAGAAGATGTACTCGTGGGATCTCCAATGTTTAGAAAACATAAGGTAAGGTTGTCCTTGCTCATGTGGAAAGCAACATATTTCTACTCATTCCTCGCACCCTCCAAACTGAAGAAGAAAATATGGATGAAGACCACAGTCTAGTGATTATATTGGTACATACAGTCGGAACAAGTATCGAAATGAAGGCGAAATGCATTCGTTGAAAATGAAATCTTTCGAATTCAAGGTTGTTTTATTACCTTAATCGCCGCGGAGTCCGTAATGACTCTCTCACGTTTCTTTCCACGCTGGTCTTCAAACAAGCGAGCTTTGTGCTGATCTTGCAGCTGGTGACGATGACGACAGAATGGTCGAGAGAGAGAGAGAGACAGTAGGTGTTGACTTCCATGCAATGCCATGCCAAATGACCAGTCCTTCCGTTCATAACCTCACATTCGTTGACTGTTCGACCTTCAAACTCTACATTTGCGAAACCCTAACCTTAAGACGCCCCAGCCTAGCTCTAACATGCAACGTCTAACCATTTTAAAGCTACCCTTTAAGCAGCGCATGGGAAAGTAGTTGACGGCTCTTTGCAAACATTCACGCATGCACGTTACCCTTGAGTATTATCCCAAGAAATACATGTGCAAAGTCTCCTTAGACACCCATGGGAACAGACAGACAAGCAAATTTCCTTTTTAAGGCAGTACCAAGGTTTGGTAATGCTTTTTTTAGGTGCACCAGCTTCTTGTGAGCCTAACAGTCGACCGCAGCCCTTACACTTGCAGACTTTTGCGCTGTAATCACGTAAACCCGGCATGCTTAGCTTCGAAAATTCGGACTTACAAGGAACGACAAGGAAAGTACCTCATCTTTTCTCCATCTTTTAGCATTTGTCACTATGAAATGTAAGTCTTGTCCTTTGTAGTTTAGGAGTCGGCAACGCCTACCTATGTCTCTGGACTATGCGAGTCAGCCTTACTAAGGCTTTAGATTTTATCTCCAGTTAGCAGCTAGTATAATCTGTTTTTTTTACCACTTATTTGACCAAGGAGTTGATTTACCAAAGCACCAACGTACGGTTAGACTGGTAGGTGCTTCTTGTTCGGTGCTTACTTCTCCAATAGGATAGGGGATAAGGGTTTTCTTTTATCTAACCAACGGCAAATGTATATTGAATATAGTTACGACCATTGACTCAACCTTCAATATATATAGGCTACCTATATAGGCTTTTCACCTAATGCACAGTCTATCCAATTAATATATGTAAGTATTTCCTAGACATTGGCTTGTGTGCACAATGTTAGGGTACAACGACGGTTAGCTTATGTCCAACTATTGGTCATATCATATTGGTAAATAAAAAGTCCCCCCTATATGTCAAAATCGAGTTTTCTTTAGTTGAGAAACTATCCGGTGAACTTAATAAATGTGTTGAACTGAATTTGGACCGTCAAATTTGATGGACTCAAGTGGGATCGACATCATTTTCATAATTCGCATTCAGTTTATTACACATACCACATTAATATAAAAACTTCTCATCTCTAATCTTATTATCTTGATACACCTGCTTGATGCATCACTCGATGAAACTCCCAAAATAGGTGAGATGCCCAAAATCAGAAAAATGGGCAGAGTGGGTTCTCGCGCCAGGTTCACCGACCTTTCTGTTCTAACCTCAATTGGCTAGTCTTTCCCAGAGAATGACGCTTTTTCGTCTGTACTGCAATTTCTTACACATGGACACACGTGTGTGGCCCCTTAGTTAGTTTACCTTCTGGTCATCGTCATACTTTTTACTACTTAGTCAAATCTCCAAGTCTCTAGGACACAGATTGTCTTAAGTCCAGCTAACTTTATAGAGTTAATGGTGCAGATTCATTGTCGCATTCTTGATAATTCAAGGTTCTAAATCATGATGTCTAGTACACAACCTACCCTGGATTTTGTCCTGATCTTCACACTAACTGATAAACAGTTGCATGGACAGGATATGAGGACGAAGTGATATGACAACCATTAGATTTTGTGGACAGTCACGGTAGATCACATGACAATTCATCATCATCTACTGTTGTGATCTATTCACTCTGTTCTCTTTACAATCTGAGTCTAGACAAATGTTTTTTTTTTGGTAAGGTGAGTCTAGACAAATGTTTCACCCTATATAAATTGAAATAAAAAAAATTCAAAAGAAAAAACTTCCTATAAGATTCACTTGACTTTTAACTTAATCAGCAGAAGTGTTCAACCGCAATGCAGAATAATCAAGGTCTTATTGAACGTTGTCTATTTGTTTCTTTCTTGGCATATGAACTATCGTTTTGCATGATATATATCGGGGACACTTTGATGAGATCTTCTTAACCTACAAATGTTAATACTCGCCTCAACTAGTTAACACGCCCTCAAGCTCAAGTAGACATAATTTTAGTCTCCAGCCAAAAGGATCTCTAAATATGCTAAATAAGTTGAACAATCTCATTTAGTAAATCATGACATAATGATCAAGTAGGAGTTCCTAGAAATTGTCGTGGCTGCTACTATTATATAGAGATCATCCTACTGATGTATCACCTATTCACATGCAAACCAGTGAGAAAATCATCACCAACCAACTTTCTAATTTTCTATCAAACGAACAGATTCAACAGAACCCAAAAGCAATTTGTGCTTTGTTACGTGAAGGTCGGGGTATGTACAAAAATCAAGGCTTAATTGCATTGAGATAATGGTATACCTATGTACTTGTTCACAAAAATCACCCCCTGGAATTTTTCCCCAGCAGAGAAGCAAACAAAGTAGAAGGACTCTTGAGACTTGTATATACTTGTTCTTTATCTCTAGGATTTAAAAGTTTCCTCAATTCGCTTTCTTTTCTAGGTCGACCTTAACACATCCGCAAGTCAGCTGTGTTCCATATGTTAAATATAGGAAGTGTTAGGCTGGTTTACGCTATGAAGATAACATATATACTTTCTATTTGTGTGTTAGGTGTAACTCTAATTTGGTAGCGCAATAACTTCTGGTTGCACCATTGTATGACACTTTCAAGACAAACCAAAATGACCCAGCTGGTGATTTTGCTTGTAGAGCTCACACTTGCTCCAACAGACGTTTGTTATCGTTATGCTTTCACGATCTCTCTACTCTCCTAGAGACGGAGAGAGAGACAGAGACTCAACTACCTAGGGTTCACGAAGCCCTAACAACAGTTTCAAGGTCGAACAGACAACGAAGCAAAGGTTAAAAAACAAAAGACTGCTCACTTGGCATGAATAGCATGGAAATACACTCACCCGTGTGTGCATGTCCATGAAATCACCTCCTCTTCCACCTTGGAAATCTGTAAAATTTCAAATTATAGTTAGTACCTTTGAATTCAGACACCAGCAAACCAAAGAAACAAAAAAGCATATGCATGTATAATTAATTTCTAAACCAAAGAAATCTATGTATTGAGAGAAAAGAAAGAAACGAAGTACCCGGGTCTCTCCTTGGTGGAAGTGGGTACTCAGTTGATGAAGTGGGTTCTTGATTTGAAGGGCCTGCCTGATTTTATAGAGAGAGAGAGAGATATGCTAAGGAGCCAAAGGCAAGTAGTCTGTAAAAATGTCCGACTCCATTCACATGGCAAGTGAAGAGGAAGCTTTGACCCACGGATGGTAGATACGTGAACGACAAAGTAGCATGTGCAAACGAACCTTAACAACCTTTACTACAACTAGGAGATATCTATTGCCCAGATGAAACTAGAAAGAGTATTTAACAAGTAAGCAATTGTTTATGGATTGGAGTCCGCGCAATTTAGGGGGGGAGAAATTATTGGCATCTTTTAATTTACTTTTCTAAAGATGGAAAGGAAATATCGGCACAGTTAAGAATTAGGACGGCCTAAGTTTATTTATTTTCTCTCTTTCTTCTCTTTTTTATCTTCTTCTGTTTACTTTTCTTCTTTCCCCTTCAACCCTTCTTTTCACCATCATCGACCCGTTCTCTGTTTCGCCGCTCAACACCACTACCTACGTCATCCATCTCTCCCCACTCCGTCATCGCCTCTCTCTCTCTCTCTCTCTCTCTCTCTCTCTCTCTCTCTCTCTCTCTCAAGCGCGACCTCATATCCAAAGTCACTAATCTCAAGCGACTTCCTACTTGGAATCGCTAGGTTGTGCACAGCCAGTAATGGAATGTTCTCAACCTTTGTGCATAATGGGTACGGAATTTCGAACATTATTAAGCCATTTTAAATAAAAATGAGTAATTATAGCATAAACTGCTAGTGTACATTATTTTTATACAAGCGGTCTTATCCATTATGAATTTAATGGTTAGTGAGAGAGTTAGTACTTAAAACCCTAAAGTCAACGATGGATAAGGCTGTTTGTGTAAAGTTTTTTTTACACTGGCGGTGCAAGGTCTAATTTTCCATATACGTTGTTTTTGTGATAAATGTCTTGCCTAATCATCAGCCGGGCATTCTATAACACTAGCTATATGGTTCTAAAAAAAAATTTCCAAGTGCACAGGTAGTAATTATATGGACTCGCGTGGAGAGAATTTGTGCATGTACAAATTATTCGCACATGAGCACGGGATAGTCTTCAAAAGCACGCCCATGACTTCCTCCAAATTATATCATCATGGAAATGCTTATATACCGAAGTTAATTTGTTGCTACTATGAAGAGGACACTCAAGAGATTACTTTACTAGTATCTAGATTATTTTAACCGGATTAGATCATGACATGTCCAGAAAAAGTACTGACATTCATGTCAGGGCACCACCTCGATAACACAAACACACCAGCTCCCAACTCGTGCTTTTGACGAGCACACGCATTATTTTACCATCAACTTTTACTGGCGTGCATGTAGAGAGAGAGAGAGAGAGAGAGAGAGAGAGAGAGGAAGACTCAAGAGAAGGGTTTGAAAAGCAGCAGAGAGGAGGAGCCAGTTGATGGTGAAGTTTAGCTGGTGCTCTGGTGTGATTTCTTGAAATGCTGAAAGAATTTAACCACGAAAACGAACGGATCCTATGGCATCCAACCACGCATGATCCCACTCCCATCTACCATTATTCTTTGCGAAACACACCTCTCTCTCTCTCTGTTTCCCTTTGGTCATCTCCTCTTGAATGGGAAATGGAAACATCATATCAAACAGTCCTTCTCACGAGCGCAATATGAGAAAAATATCTTTAGCTACCGTGACCAGCAGATGACAAAATATTGTTGGTTGCCAAGATTTGGGAGCCATTTGCTCTCTCTCTCTCTGACTTTCTCTCTCTCAAATCTCTTCTTGGATTCCACAAATTTAGGAAATTTTGTATTAATTTCGAAGGTCAACATCATACTACAATCTGGAAATTATGACTTTCATTGGACGTATACTTGTTTTATTCAACCCGCTTAGATTGAATATGCCCACACGTTCCATGGGTTCAAGACTACCTTTGCTATATTATTCTCGATGTCGTGTTTGTGGTGGATTAAATTCATCCATAATTTGATTCGCTTTACAATGCATTGCGCATTTGAAACGAACACGAAGCACACCCCACACAATGTAGTCTTGTCGTTGTTCGTCTCATGATGTAACAATCTTACCGGCAGTGAATAAGGACATCTTCAGTTTTCAAAACCCCAAAGAGAACAATACACACACGTATATACAAAGAAATCTGATAGCACTTCATTTTATACACCAAAAGGGCGATGTGGCCGTACTAACCCGTCTCCACGCATAATCGAACCTTCGGATCTATTTTATTTTTGTAGATCGGTTAACCTCTGGGTGATTTGACTTTCACCTAACGCCTAGAATTTTAAATTTACAATCGACATAAGAAATGATTAGTGGCGACTCATAGAACGATTTAGGCATTTAAATCAAAATAGCTTACCCCCGACCTATGGGATGGAAGACTATAGGCCATAGACTATGGGACAGTTTTTCAAAACTGCATTTTTTTGTATTATTTTCTATTTTTGCATTTTCGAATTAAATCAAAAGATAGATCTGGATCGCGGGGTGGAAAGGCGTAGCATCATAGCGATAATCATTATTCATTTGATTCCGAAAAACTTATCCAAAAAGTCATAAACCTATTACATTTTTGTTAATTTGGTCCTAAACTTTTTAATTGTGCCAATTGAGTCAATCTGGCCAATTTTGGCCGATAATCGCTGGCATGGATGCTGGCTGTCCTACGTGGCACGGCCGATACTGACGTGATAATTTTTTAATAATGTTTTAATAGTTTTTCGATTTTTTCATTTTTCCTTTTTTTCCCTAGCTTTTCTTCATTTTTCCTTCTTTACTTTTTATTCTTCTTTTTTTCTTTTTCCCTCCCCTGGGCCTCATCAATGGCCGACGGAGGTTGCTGACCTTAGGTGAGGGAAACCTAGGCCGGCATGGGAGGGCTGCCTTCATCTAAGGCCAGAAAAGAGAAAAGGAAAAAAAGAAAAGAAAAAAAAAGAAGAGAAGAGAAAAGGAACAAAAGAAAAAAGTCATGAAGGAAAAGTGAAGAAAAGAAAAAAAAAAGAAAAAATTCAAAAAATATAAAAATATTATTAAAAATTATCTATGTCAACGATTTTCGGCCAAAATTAGCCGGATAGACTCAATTGGTATAAATTTAGACCAGAAAAAATTTAGCACGATTAAAAGATTTAGGACTAAATTAGCAAAAAGTACAATAAATTTATGATTTTTTGGACAATTTTCCTCATTTTTAAGACGATGGATGAGTCAGTTAGGCAATCATAAAAACCCTACAAGTGACGGGATAAAAACCCTTCAAATGAGCGATTTTAATCTTTCTTTCTCATTTCCTTTTGTGTTTGTTGTCTGTTCATGTAAGCCCTTGTCCATAATGTGGTTACTTGCTTCGGGGTATGAGTTTGTGAGTTTATTGCCAGAAACATTAACAGAAATGGGTTTATTTTGCTTCATAAAAATTAGGAAAATTCAATATTTTTTCTTGTCTCTTATATATAGCAATTCCATGTAACTTTCATAACTTAAATCATATGGCATGACGATGTAGTATCATGAAACCACTTAATTAAGTATTCTTAATTTCAAAATGTGTGTATATTATTATGGAAAAATGTGAAATAAAGAAGAATATTTCAGTAGCCAGTGATATCATGCCAATAAAGCCAAGCAACACATTAATACAAGATCTACTCAGGGGTGGACTCTCTTCTTTGCAAGGCATTTTGGTGGTTTGAAGTGCCCCCAATCTCACCGGTATTATCTCTCTCCACATAAAATTTTATTCGGCTTGCCGATTTTGATGTTTTTAGGACCAAAAAGTTAAAGAAGTGACAGCTTATAAAGTTTTGGGTAGCGCCAACATGAGTTGGAAGGTTTATAAGACCATCCTAAGAGGGCATTTGGCAGAGCCAATAACTTCACGGAATCATGAAGTCTTTGTCCTCTCCCTCCTGCCACAAAATTATCCAAAAAATCTTAAATTCATTTTACTTTAATTCAGTCTTAAACTTTTTAATTATATCAATTGAATAATATATGTTTTTAGGATTTGCCAATTAAATCCATCCGATCAATCTTGATCGGAAATCACTAACGTAAACGCCGGTCATCTTACAGGACACGACCGATATTGACGTAATTCGAATTTTTTGTTTCGAAAAGTTATCCCATATTTAGGTGATTTGACTTCCTCCTAACACCTACAATTTTAAATTTCCCATCAACTTAAGAAATGATTGATGGCGACCCATAGAACTATTTAGGCATTTAAATTACAGTAGCTTACCCCTAACCTAGGGGATGGTAGACTGTAGCCATAGACTACGGGACAGTTTTTCGAAATTTCATTTCTGTTATTCTTTTCGATTTTTGCATTTTCGAATTAAATCGAAAGATAAATCTGGATTGCCGGGTGGAAAACTTGATTCCAAAAGGTTATTTTCGAGTGTGGAAACGTAACAACTAACCACCCAATTGATATGGTAACATGATTAAAAAAAATTATCCCATTGATATGCTAAAATGTGTACTTTCATCTTTTTAAAATCAAAACTGTAACAAGCAAAAATCATAAAGAATATATTGTTTTCTCAGGAAGTCTTCTCATGAAATCTAGTGAGATGATAAAAGCATGACATGCGGACTCACTACTCATGAGTGAAAATTTTATAGAAGTTCCGGACGTCTTAGACGAGACAAATCCATGAAGAATGGTGAAAAGTGACAAGTCTCAAAACCATCGAGGTGACTGACCAAGTTGGTTAGGAGTTACTTTCAATTGGTAAGGAGCCGCCATTAGTCATAAGCTTGAATCTCCTGGTTGCTTCTTGATCTCGGAAAATCCTAATTTGTCCATGATATAGGTTTGGCTTGTACGCCAAAAGCATCGATCGCGATCTTATTCCAATGTCCTATGATGCAGCGGCGATAGGATCGCTTAAAATGAACATTATTTATCCAATGACAAATTCATCGATACATTGCCCGAAATGCACCGCGAAGAACACAATAAGCAAAGGAGAGATCCCCATATGGAAGTCTGAGAGAGCCCGAAAAACATTCCCAAATCGCTACTACGAAACTCGTAGTTACAATTGACGCGAGCGAAGAGGCTCGTGTCCCACTAAATCCGCTCCATCACCTCACAGATCACGTTGTTGTAAGCTCGCAACAAATCATCGGCGATCCGGTCGAATCCGCCGTCAACAGGGACCAAAATGAACCGTTTGAAGCTGGACGACACGTAGCTAGGTTTCTTTTCTTTTCATGCTACCTATCTATTTGTCTTTATATTCATATGGTCTCCCTTCACCTATCAGTTTAAGATTTTGGATTAGATTTTCTAACATGGTATCAGAATCAATGTTATCTCTTTTGCAATTGTGTCTCCATCGCCATCAGACGAATTTCACATGCCGTGCTAAAAAATTCTACGGGCCACTCGTAATCCGACATGCACGTGAGAGGGGGTGTTGAAAATATTATCCAACATCGCTCTACTATGGGTCGTAAATGCTTTTTATATATATGTGGTCTCTCTCAACTTATCAGCTCGGTCTTTCGATCAAAAAACATCAATGAAGACATGTAAGCACACTATTATGCGGTAAGGATTGTAACTTTCCATGAATTTTCCATGTCTCACTCAACAGCGGATTGCTTATGTCTTTTCTTGAGGATCGACGAATCGAACGACATTTTTGTTCAAGTTGTTGCCTTAATTTTTTTTGTTTAACTTTCTAGCACTATCCAAGAGAGGATAATGCCAAGTCGAAATAAGTGCCGGGCAATCCAGGTAACACTTAAGTCGAGATAAGTGCCGGCCCTCCTTCATTAATTAAAGTAAGTCGATTACGTTACGGGACTGAATTGAACACGTAAAAAGGATCCGAATTTGAACAATCGACGAAAGTTCCGGGAGCGGAGGCGCTCTTCCATTGGCTGAAGGGGGACGACGGGACGCTTTTTCCGGCTCGACATGGACAATCAGTGGCGGTGGGACTTTCGCATGATGCCCCCTCGTCCTTTTCGAACGGTCCAAAAGGCAAAGGGGCAGAGCGAAGAAATCACGAGCGACCGACGCGATCTCCCCCACCACCTGTCGTTTCGATATCTGAAAAGGAGGGGGAGCGCAGGAAGAACCGAGGACGATCTGGGGCCGTCCGACCATTTCCAACTTGTCACCGACGAGGATTGGCGGGATGGGTGCTGTGTCGTTTTGCCCAACGACAAACCGTTTTCGCGCGGGCTGTTTTTTTCCGTTGACGGGCGGGTGGCGCGCGCACGGCCATCCCTTTTCATTTGATCGCGGGGAGGTGGGGGTGGGGGTGAATGGAACAGTTTTGTTTTGTTCCGCAGAGAATCCCCCACCGATTCGGGCGAGGATAAAACCTCGGGCGAGCGAGCGAACGGGATGCACCCCCGCGCGCGCACGGGCCCCGACCCGATGGCGGCCCGTCGGATCAGATGGGTCCCGCGTGGGGCCCACGCGAATCGGCGGAGGGGTTTCGCTGGGTTAGTATATACGACCCCCGAGCGCGAATTGCGAGTTTCCGTTCCGGCTCGTGAAGTGCCAACGGAGAAAGTTTTCGGGGGTCCTAATAAAAACAAAGGTCCGGCAATTCTAGCATTTTTGTCTTCGTTACTTTTGATCGACAAATGGATGCCGCGTTGTTTTCACCGCATGTCAATTTTCGTCGAAGTCGACTTTTATCATTAATGGGAGATACTAATCTGAAGGGATAATGACACAAATAGTCCCTGAACTTTGACTTAATGTGCAATTTGATCCCTGAACTTTTAATTTGTTCAATATAGTTCCTGAACTTTAACATAATGTTCAATTTGATCCCTGAACTTTTAATTTATTCAATATGGTCTCTGAACTTTTAATATGTGTTCAATTTAGTCCCCGAACTATATGAAAATGTTCAATATAGTCCCTGCACTTGAATTAATGGAAGGACTATATTGAACATTTTCAAATAGTTCAAGGACTAAATTGAATACATATTAAAAGTTCAGGGACCACATTGAACAAATCAAAAATTCAGGGACCAAATTTTACATTGGGTTAAAGTTCAGGGACTATTTGTGTCATTTTCCCTAATCTGAAAGGTTTGTCTGTCGGGAGCCGACCTTCGTTTTTAAGAGTCAATATTAACATTCACTTTGATTTGACAGTGTACTAACGAAAGTCTCAGCTTTTTGGAGAGTTACAAATATGCTTATTTAAGTTACATTCGTGTCAAATTATCCGATAGAGTTTGGCACAGATTAAGCCTGCTATTATACCGGCATTTAGGAAGCCGTCTCGTCTATGTTCGAGATTCTGTAAATTTTAAACACATGCAACAACAACAACTACGCGATACCCAATCATACCAATATGCTTGCCATAGCTTTCTTTGCACCGTAACCGAGCCTCCGACTTGTCACATTTTTACATGTTCGGCAACACACGCTTTACGCCGTAAAAACCCAAAAACCACACGACGCAGCTTCCTAAAAGCTGCCCGAGTTCGGGGGAGGGCGTTGCAGCCGTAAGGCGTCCGGCCAACCACTTTATGAGAGCAGCAAACGCCTTTTGTTGCGAAAAAAAAGCTGTACCGTACTGGGCCGAACATCGATCCTCATCCCCCTCTCCGTGCCTAAATTGGGACAAGTGCACCACAAGTCCTAAAACTTGTCACAAAAGTGCATTTGAGTTCTAAAACTTGCAAAAAGTTCATTTGAGTCCTAAAACTTGCAAAAAGTTCATTTGAGTCCTAAAACTTGTCAAAATTGTTCATTTGAGTCCTAAAATTAACACTGTTAGATTTATTAACGGAAAACGCTGATGTAGCACTGACGTGTCAGTTTTAATTATTTTTCTTGAGACACGTGGCGCCACGTCAGCAAAAATAAAAATAAAAATAAAAATAGAAAAAGCTGTAAAAAAAAAAAAAAAAAAACAGAACCGGCGGTGGCCGCCGCCACAGCCACCGGGAAGGACCGGCGGAGGTCGCCTGGGCCTTCCCGAAGCCCGGCGACCCTCGCCGGCCCCGGGCGAGTCCCCGGCGAGGGCCGGCGACCCTCGATCTGGGGGAGGGCGCGACCCTCGCCCCAGATCTGAGCGAGGGTCGCCGGCCCTCGCCGGGGACTCGCCCGGGGCCGTCGAGGGTCGCCGGCCTTCGGGAAGGCCCAGGCGACCTCTGCCGGTTCTATTTTTTTTCCTTTTTTTGGTTTTTTTCTGTTTTTTTTACAGCTTTTTCTATTTTTATTTTTGCTGACGTGGCGCCACGTGTCTCAAGAAAAATAATTAAAAATGACACATCAGCGTTTTCCGTTAGTAAATCTAACGGTGTTAACTTTAGGACTCAAATGAACCATTTTGACAAGTTTTAGGACTCAAATGCATTTTTGTGACAAGTTTTAGGACTTGTAGTGCACTTATCCCTGCCTAAATTTAATTTTTTTTTGGTCACTACAAAGCCAAACGGGCCGGCCCAAATGTCCGAAGATGGATTGCCGCAAGGCCCAGAGAGAGAGGCCCAATGGGCCTCAAGAACGGGCATGGTGGACGGGACACCATGAATTGGCCCATATTCAGGCGGTTTGTCTGGTAAAGCTTCTCTCTCTTGCACACCCAAGAACATCATCGCAGTCACCGCCCTGCTACTTCCCCCACTCTCTCTCTCTCTGTGCAAAGTTGCAAAGTTCTTATCTGTTTTCTCTCTATTTGGGCTATGGAGCCTTGCTGATTCTCAGCTCCTTCATCCGGACGGTTTCTTCCGTGGCGCGCCTTCGTTCGACTCTCTCTCCATCGCGGCTCACCGGAACACGAGGAGGAATCCTTGACCGGAAACGAGGAGCCGGTCGTTTTGATGTCGGGGACTGTCTCGCTGTCTTCTTCCCCGATCTCGCATCGCTTGCGCGCGGCTCCGTCTCAAAGGTTCGAGTTTTTGGGCTTCTTTCTCGCTCTTTCTTTTTGGGCTTCGGGTGGAGAATGATGCTGCTGTCGTTCGTTCGACAGCCTTCGCTGTTCCGCGATCTCTCGCGGGCGGGTTGTGAGGATGTCCGCGGCTGCGACGGACAGCCCCGCGCTGTCTTTCGAGAGGATGGCCGTGAAACCGCCTTCGCACCCGACGTATGATCTGAAGGGCGTGATCAAGCTCGCCCTGGCCGAGGACGCTGGGGATCGAGGTTTGGCATGAGCCTCCCTAGTTCTCTTTCGATTTTGCTGCGTTGCTGTGATTGCTGTTCCTCGTTTTGTTGAGAAAGTATTGGGTGCAAGGGTCATAGCGTGGCGTTTTCGTGTATTAGATAGTGAATGGGCCGACACCCAGTGACGAATTGTATTGGGAATCTGTGCATTCGTAGATCATTTACTTGAAGTTTGTTGGCGAATTTATGCTTCCGCGGTGACATGGATGCTGCTGCTCTGGAGGTAGTTAAGAACTCGGAGTGTGTGAATGTACCTGGACGCGATTAAAAGGCTTATTATTATGACATGTGCTAGTGTCGTTGCAATGTTTTGTTTTTTCCGGTGTGTGACTGTGGTGATCATCAGTTCCTAATAAAGCTTGGGGATTTAGTGATCCATTCACTCTGTTTTCACCTTGGGCGTCTCATGGGTTGCATAATTCATGGAATTTTAGGAGATGTGACTTGTATGGCCACTATCCCTGCGGACGTGGAAGTGGAGGCCCATTTCTTGGCGAAAGAGGATGGTGTTGTGGCAGGAATTGCTCTTGCGGAGATGGTATTCCATGAGGTTGATCCTTCTCTCACGGTATTTCCTCTCTCTCTCTCTCTCTCTCTCTCTCTCTCTCTCTCTCTCTCTCTCTCTCTCTCTCTCTCTCATGTTATGGAGCTTCTCATTTCTTTGTGTGCAATGGATTGTTCATGTTCAATATGATGCAGGTAGACTGGTCTAAGAAGGATGGAGATTATATACATAAGGGTCTTCAGTTTGGAAGAGTTTCTGGTAGATACACAATGTTGATATCGGCATTATATAAGTATACAGACTTTTAATTTGCACTTCAATTTTAGCAAGTTTGTTCTTCCCATTAAGAGCTTGGATATGCAGGACGAGCATACAGTGTTGTTGTAGCTGAAAGGGTAGTGCTGAATTTTATGCAAAGAATGAGTGGCATTGCAACTCTAACTAAGGTACTTTCATTTTCCTGAAGAAGGTAGAAATGAATGGAATAATGCTTTGATGTTGCAACCAGAACTTTTAACTGTCCTTGCAAATGATTCTGGAAGTGTAATCTAGGGTATGCTCCATTACAGAGCTAGAACTTGCTTGTAATCAGTTCCTTAGTTGCCACTCTGGTTAAAGGTGAGATGAGACGTGGTTGATTATTTCTGCAGGCAATGGCAGATGCCGCACACCCAGCACGCATTCTAGAGACAAGGAAAACTGCTCCAGTTTTGCGTTTGGTGGATAAGTGGGCGGTCTATACTACTTCCTGGACTTACAGCTCCTGCTTCCTTTGTCTCATATTCAAGTTCATCAGTTGACCTTGTGATGTATCTTTCTATAGGTTCTCATTGGTGGAGGGAAAAATCACAGGATGGGTTTATTTGATATGGTTATGATAAAGGACAATCATATATCTATAGCTGGGGGTGTCACAAATGCCATTAGATCTGTTGACGTGTATTTGGAACAAAGAAACCTCCAAATGGAGGTCGAGGTACTTGAATTTGGCACTTTACTTTTTGAATGTTCAACCTGTTGGCCTCATGACCAGTAAAATAAGCTGTCTTTGGCCCTGGTCTTTTCGATTTGAAATTTGTAACTCAGGATGTTTACAACATCATCATCTCTCTCTCTCTCTCTCTCTCTCTCTCTCTCTCAGGTTGAGACAAGGACACTGGAGGAAGTTAAGGAAGTATTAAACTATGCATCTGAGACCAATACCTCATTGACTCGGATAATGCTGGATAATATGGTCATACCCTTATCAAATGGTGATGTTGATGTTTCTATGCTTCAAGAGGCTGTGGGATTGATCAATGGGAAGTTTGAGACAGAAGTACGTTTTAGAAATTCTGTGATGCTATAATCATCAATTGTAGTTATCTCACTCTTTAGTTGGCTTATGCATTGAGTTGTTTAGTTGGGTGCTGCAGTTACAGAGTTGTTGTCTCTGCTTTCCCTCTTTATTCTGCATCTGTTAGAAAAGTGATGTGAAGAAAATTAAGGTACCAGGTATTCAATGTGGATGGAAATTGATTGACATGTGAGATCATTTTAATGACATTGTCTTTCTTAGGTAGTATTCCCAGCTTCTTATTCATAACAAAACCATGCATTACTGTCTTCTAGTACCCATCAAATCTCGTACCTGCAACTTTGCATTGGGCTTGCGTAGATTTCAATGTAGCAATGTTGCATCTTTAAGTAAGCCCGTGTAGTCAGGTGAAGTCAGCTGAAATTGCTTCTATTTTAAATCAATTTGTTTCTTGGCAAATTTTAGGTGCTCATTTTCCACAGTAGCCACGATAACCTGTCTTGTTATAATGTCGTATTAATGGGTAATATGGGCTTCGCAGATGATTCTGATGTAGTGTGGCATTCCGAGTGAACTGATTTAAACCTGACAGTAGTACTTTGCTATGGCAGGCATCTGGAAATGTTACTCTTGAAACAGTGCATAAAATTGGACAAACCGGTGTGACATATATCTCAAGGTAATTTGTTTTTGACTCTATTCATGGCCCTCAGCAATTTTTATAGGACTTGTTTTGATAAATGTCGAATTCTGGTAACAAATCTCCATGAATCTGTAGCCTGTAGAAGAACTCAAGTGTGTTTGTTTCAAATAAGCAACTTTTCATCCAGAAAAGAAGTTTGTAGCAGAATCCATTTTCAGGAAAACAACTTGGATAATGACATTCCATGTTTGGTGCTCACTATGAAGGATTTTCTTGCTAAATTGTCAGAGTCGCGGTTCATGAACAAGTAAGCGACTGTAGTGGCAGTGACAATAACCAACTGTTGGAGGTGCTTCTGTTGGCCACAGCAGGCTGGCCAAATAGTGGCGGCTGCTGGTCAGTGGCAACTGTAAAACCCTTCGTAGCTGTAGGAACCCCCTTGGTGATAGGTGACAATTGACAGGTTTCAATTTTAAGAATTTGAATATGCACTTTTTATTCATTAGCAGAAGACTTTGCATTGACCAATTTGTCTGCGTTAAAGGATAAAACATGATTTTCGTTTTTCTTATTTTGGCTGGGTAATAAACGTTATGTTCTTTTGATTAGTGAAAAGAATGTAAAATTCCTATAGTTACTTTTCTTTGCGAAAAAGCCTAAACAGTTGATGTCTTTGTCCATGTTCCTTCTTTATGCTAAATTCAGAAAAGAATAGCTCTTCTCATGTCGGAATCTCGTTCCCTTAATTCTAATGTAGTGTTGATACTTCGCCAAAAGAATCGACCAGCTAAAGCTAAAGTTCCATTAAAGAGTGCCTCCATGGGGTAGAACCTCCTCAGGGAATATAAGTTTTTCATAAGGCTGATCTTGAGCCGCCATCCAAGCACGAATACCAATCAATCCCCAAAACAGAAGAGGTTCTGTCCAATACAAAATAAACATTCAGATGTTCCAAACATCACAGGTTCCGATCACAATCAAGTGAGTGTGAGGAGTTTCACCGGTTGAATTAAGTGGATCACTGTTCCCATTTTTTCTTAGTGGTGAAGCAGACAATAGAGAGGAGTCTGAGGGTTTAAATTATGCGGAATCTATTTGCTCTGTGAGGGGGATGCTTTGTTCCCTTGTCAGCAGTTAAGGTGTTCTTATTTGTTTGTCAAGTAATTGAGAAGCCTGATTTGATCTTCTTCATTCATGGGTAACTATTTTGCGATTATCGTTTCTTCCAAATGTTCTAGTCTTTTTGTCATATGCGACTCTGGATGGAGAAGATGAGATAGGACCATACTCACTTTGTACCGTGTTCAGGGTTTAATGGCAGTTGCTGGTTTTGGTAACTCATAAGATCTGTGCAGTGCACCATTCTGGCAATGCTAGTTGTATTGGTTAGGGAGGGCTTATTCTTCTGATAAAGTTAAATCCTGCTATTTGAACTTGTAATAGTTAGATTCGCTAACTCTAACGTATGTTCTAAGTAAGAATTGCACCGAGAAACAGCTAGTTTTCGTATCCCATCTGGCAGACAGCTATATATGGTTCGCTTTTGACAAGTTTTGCGGGCAGATGATGTCTTTCTTCGTGGTGAAGAAAGTTAGACAACCATGCTGGCATGTGGGATGACTCGTGGGCACCAACTTTTCCCCTGGATGACTTTTTGTTATTTTTTGCAGTGGTGCCCTCACGCATTCTGTTAAAGCGCTCGACATCTCCCTGAAGATCGATACGGACTTGGCTCTCGAAGTCGGAAGGCGTACGAAGAGAGCGTGACTCGTCGCTCTATACCTCATTCCTATAAGGAATCTGCCCAGAAATGGATGATCTTTCTTTTCCGTGAGATGTGATGTGCTTCCTAATTCCTACTAGACCACTTTTCTTTCGGCTTTTTTCCATTGATGACTGCCAATAAAGTTGTTGGGGCAGAAATCGGAAGGCGGAAAGTTAATTAAAGTTCAATTAACGAGTGGGGGATGAAATATATAAGTTCACCAATCTATCAAAATGACATTAATAGTCCTCAAACTTTTGGTTCAATTTGCAACGTCATCCTTAAAATTTTAATTTATTCAATATTTTCCTTGAACTATTCTCGAATGTTCAATATAATTCCTAAATTTTTAATTTATTTAATTCAGTCCCTCAACTTTTGATAACAGAGTCAAATTGGTCTTTCGATTCCTAGTCTATTTGCCAGATTCTAAGATACGTTTTCATCATAATCTATTTTATAAATCATCGAAAAATATCCTATCTTTTTTCTACTTTTTTTTTTACCTTTTTGGTCTTTAAAATTAGTATGATAGTTTCATTTAAGTATTTTTTTAGCTTCAGATAAAAGTAGAATCTCATTTAAAGTTGTATTGGGTTGATATTCGTACAATTTTTAATATCCTAATTTAAAATTTTAATTAAAACGCAATGCACAAGCTTGTAAATTTTATCTATATAATAGATTAGGAACGAGATTTAGATTAATAGAAGTACGATTATCTTTTGATGAATTAATATCATTTTTTTTACACTTATTCTTAAATTAGCAGGAGTATCAATCGATATAACTCTACATAAGGATCTACCGTTACTGTTATAGAGATTGTAAGATAAAATGTACTTGAATTGGACTACCGTAATGTTTCTAGAGATTAAAGAGAAAGGAGGAGTTAGATTTAGGAAATGGATCGAAATGAAAATATATTCTAAAACCTAGGCAATAGTGTAATTAGGAAAGCTTATGAATAGTAGGGAGGGACTAATCTGACTTTGTGAGAGATCAAAATGAACAAATTGAAAGTTTAGAGACTAGACCGAACATTTAGAAATATTATTTCGGGAGACTATATTGTGTAAATTAAAAAGTCAAAATAAGACATTGCACGTTGGACCAAATTTAAAAGACTATTTGTGCCATTTTCTCTTTATTGAACAACAGGGGTCAGAACTTGTGCTGGCTTCGCCTTTTATGGTACTTGGGCGGTGCAGAGAGTTAATTTCGAAATTTGCATTATTTTTCCCCTGGGATGGATGACTTATTATAGTCTTCATTTTTTTTTATTCTTTTGGGGCCAATACCAGAAGTAAAGTCGTATCAAACCAATTGTTAATTTCAAAATTCCGTGAGTCATCAACCGTGACTTTGCATTTACGACGGTGGGCATTGATTTCGATCTGAAGACAAATCTGCTCCTTTGAATGTGGGCATGCAAGGTCACACGATCAACCACCATTCCTTTGGGTCATGTTAGGTGCGTACAAAATGTTCAAATACATACCTCGATCTCTTAGGTCGAAGGAAGAGAAGGAAGAGGAGTAAAAATGAAATGGTCTCCTCTTGCAGGTTACCGACACCAAATTTCAATTCAAAGGTTTCCCCATCTTTGGCCCCCTTTTCTAAGCACCATGTGTTTAGGTAACTGGCTTGACCTTTGATGGGGATTGGGGGATTTTTGCTTCGAGAAGATGTTGCTGGTCAAACAAGAAACTCAATTTCCCTTCGTTCATCATCAAAATCCGTCCCGTCAAATCTCTGTCTTTATAGTTTTACATTCTAAAAAATTGGATTTTTTCTCTTTTCTTTTCTTTTTGTTCGATTCCAAAGGTTCTCTTGAAACTTTCAGCCAATAATTAAGATATTATTTTTGGAGTCTGCGTTGCGCTACTATAGAAAAACAAAGTTTCAACAACAACAACAACAAAAGTTAAATAGCATAAGATAACTTTTTCGAGGTGGGAGGATTTTTCAGCAGGTTCGGCGGACCCTGTCCCTGCACTATAGATTAAAAAATTAATTTCCACAACTTGAAAGTACATTTTGATCATTAACACATGAGAATGTCATCTCTTGTCCTACACACTTCTAATATATAACCGCAGAGTTTTCTATAGCATGATTTGCTATGGTATGGAAGCACTTAAAGTATTGATTCTTTACAATTTTGCCATGAAACCTATAAATAAAAAGGTCAATACCGTCAGAGATCTCAAACCAGCCTACCTATACTACATTTATCTCAAATTAATTTTCATGTCACGGAAAATCTCAAACTGTACACCCGCGACAAATCTATCAAAATTTTAAGGCAAAATTGAGATAGAATTAGGAATTTGAGCAGATTTTTAAAATGTAAGGGAACTTTACAGCCAAATTAGCAGATTTCTCAATCTCGATTCATTCTGTTGTAGCAAACGCGGAAAAGCAAACACAGAACACGAGAATTTACGTGGTTCAATCACAACGTGATCTACGTCCACGGGCGAGGCAAGACAAGATTCTACTATAATCAAAGAGAGTACAGTTTTCAGAAGTCGAAACAACAACAAAAGCTCATGGCTTACAAAACTCTCTGAAAATAAAATTCTCTCTCTATGTCAATGAGAAAACCTAGCCGCAGTATAAATAGTACTCCCGAAATTTTGTTTCCATTTTGTCAATTTAACGAGGATAATGGATGGAACCTAATAGACGGTAAATTTATCCCAAGTGCACCGGTTTGAAAATTTTCTTTCATATGATTTGGGATACATGTGACACAAGTGTACCACTTTGGAATTTATAATGGTAATAATCCAATTAAAATATGGAATATTGATTTACCTGAAGATAAGTGTCACTTGCTAATTGAACTAAGAAGAATTGACACTCCAAAAAAAAAAATGCCATCTTAGCTAGCTTCAGCAACTTACAAACGAAACACACACTTACATTCAACAAACCATAAAATTAGCGCATCATCGGGATAATTACCAAAAAAGTCCTAAACCTATTACACTTATACCAATTCAGTTCTAAACATTTTAATTGTGCCAATTTAATCCTAAACATTTTCACATTTTGCCAATTGAATCCATCCGACCAATTTTGACCAGGAATCATTGACATGGACGGGCTTCCTACGTAACACGGCCGGCGTTAACGTAAACATTTTTTAATAAATTTTCGACAATGTTTTGAAAATTTTATAATTTCTTTTTCTTTTTCTTTTCTTTTCTTTTCTTTACATTTTTTTTACCAAGAGCGGGCACTGGCACTAGGTGAGGGCCGCAATGCCTCGCGGGCCCTCGCTGGCCAAAGCGAGGGCGTGCGGCCCCTCGCCCAGATCTAAGCTAGGCGAGAGCGTCGTGAGTTTAAAAGAAAAAATAAAATAAAATAAAAAGTTATAAAAAAATCAAAATTTATTTAAAAATGTCAAAGTCGGCGATTTCCGGTTTATTTGGTAAAACGCGAAAAAAAAATTATGATTAAATCGACACAAATACAATGAATTTAAGATTTTTTTGATAATTTTTCCGTGCATCGTCATCTCACGATCAAATGTCACGATATCACGAGACTCTCGAAAGGGGAGTACAAATACATTGTTTGTAGAAAGAGTTGGGCAGGAGACGCAACCTCGTTTGCCTGGCCGCCCTCCTAGCGGAAAGTGGAACGAGAAAGCAAGAGCTGTCTCTGACGTTTGCGCTTTGTTGAAAATCACAAGGCATTTTGCCTCGGTCTTCCTTAAGTTCAAATGTGCTAACAAGGGGCGACCGTGACCCATGCGACTTGAGAAACGTCAAAGTCGCGAATTGAAGCTTTACCTGATTTGGTGTCTTGCGGGGTCAAATCGCGAGACAGCTTTACTCTTCGAACTTTTAACCAACTCTGGTGTGGATAGCTTGCTTTCTTTTTTTTTTTTTCCTTTTATTTTGAGTATGATGATACGATTGATTTACTAGTCGGTTCACGATAACTCTATTGCAGCTAAAAGAAGTTGGATAGATTATTCACATATCTCAAAAGAATGTGAGATTGAACATCCAATCACGTGTAAGGTGCATCCAATCACGTGTAAGGTGCAAACGCATGGTGATTTTTTTTTTCTTCTTTTGCGTTGATTGCGATTATATGAACTTATTCAGGCCGGATATCTAATGTTTATTTTTCGAAGGGCGGAGACACTTTAAGTGTCTTTACTCAGTATGAAATGAGAATGTCTATACCCCCTCTTGCCGTGAAACAAAAAAAAAACAGAAATTGATGAATTTTGTGGCTTCCTAGTTGAGTTATCTTCAATGGAATATGATGATGGTAAGTCTTAACCTCTTGAGGTTAGGGCTAGGGATTGAACCCCCTTGACTTCCCACTCAATCAATTGAAAGATCAAGCTTGACTTGAATTGCATATAGGAGTTGATCAAGTGGAATTTTTCCAACTCTCGATTGAAAACGAGGGGAGGAAGAGATTAATGGAGGAGGTAATGTTCGCTGTTTTGTATTTACATAAAATTTTACATAACTGTCTATATTTTATACTTAGCATTTAGAGCATAGATCCAGAGTTCGAATCCCACAACTTCATATTAGACTCATTGATCGTGGTGGGTTCTCAACTTGCTTGCACAAAATAGTCAAGTATTGCCCATGTTAGGAACTGGCTCGCACGCGAGAGGGATCATTAAGTAAAGATCGTATGTCCATCATCCACTCGTTTTCTAATAGCTAAAACTCTTGACAAATACTGTCAGCCGTGGCATTTGAAACTAGTGGAAAAAGCCGCTGACCGGTAGTTAAAAGGAGGTTGGGAGCCTTTTTCCGAAAGGCAAAACCAACCCTAACATCACCTTTTTATCTCATCCCATGTAAAGAAAGTCAACATCCTGTCCCCCTAGCTCCATCCCGTGTGACTAATGGATTGGTTTTGTCATTGACTAGGTAAAAATCCACGAAGAACAGAAAAAGGAGGGCTGATCAGCATTGCATGGGCATTCCAGCAATTTTC